GTGTAAGGTGTTATTTTATGGTGCAAATTGCCTTTATCTTTTAGATGTAGTGAAATCTGGTGGCCACAGAATAGAAAAATGCATTCAGCATCAATGAATTACAAACCTTTCATCATTTTCTTCCTCAGATACTGATCTTCGGCCATTTTTCGCTCCCTCTGCAGCTGTTCGATGAATGCGCTCGGTCTGTTACCATTCGGCTTGGAACTGTTCATACGGAAACCAACTGGTCCAAACGAGAGCGCATCTTGTTGATCTGATCGTCGTGTTTCTGCAGTTCGGCTCATTTTTGACAACTACTCAAATTCTGTGGCCGAAGTTAGGTACCCTATGGGTAGTTATGCGATTTGGGATCATTCATTTCCTCACTTTCACTCAGTTCTCACCGTTTTAATAATTTTAGATAAACTTACTATTAACATCGTCATACTGACGAGGTCCAATCACAGTGTTGAGTTAAGACGTATATGACTTAATGGACCGAAATGTCTTATCTCATTCTTGCCTCCTTTCCTCATTCTCTTCATGCTTTCTGTATTTAATGCGCCTTCGACATCCAAGGTGCTACAATTGGCTTACCATTATTTCTGGCCATAGTTTCTTGCTTTCTGCGCGGATTTCTTTTCTGCTGCGACTGGATTGGACGAACAATCGTTACAGGTGGTGGTCGAGTTGCCGGTGGAATTCGCTGAGCGGGAGGCTTCAGCTCTTGTTCAAAGAATCGTTCTGTAGCATCGGCTAACGCTGTGAAATCATCATCCACGTTTCCACCTGAAAAAAAAAATAGCCAACAAAAATTATTTGCTTTCTTGACAACAAACAGCACTAATATGGCCAATACCAGGGTCTTTTCACAATAGCTTTTTCGAGTTCTTGATGCTACAGAGATCAAGGTTATTTTTGACAAATAGCCAAGGTTATTTTCGACAAATCGATCAAGAAAACATCTTCGTAAAGATAATTTGAGAACTGTCAGCATCTATTCACAATGTCTCAAAGAATCGCGAAAAAAAGAAAAAAAGAATGAAGCGATGATTCGTAATGTTCCATTAGGGAACGTTGAGGAAATATCTGTGATAGTTTTTGACAATTTTAATATTATATCGGTCGATGGATCTTGTCTGCCGATCGACCAATTTTTTAGCAATTCTTGTGTTATCTGAT